GTAAGTTGCCCCAGTGTTTTTCAAACCAAATGGCATTACCCAATAACAGTATGTTCCCTATGGCGTGATGAATGCTGTCTTTTCTGCATCTTCCTCATCCATCAAGATCTGGTGATATCCCGCATAACAGTCCACAAAAGACCCAATCTCATGCTTGGCACAATTATCGATTAGAATGTGAATGTTCGGCAATGGAAAATCATTCTTTGGGCTTGCTTTGTTAAGATCACGGTAATCAACACAGACCCTGGTCTTACCATACTTCTTTGGTACTGGCACAACATTGGCTAACCAAGTGGGATATCGAGTGACTCGAATGACCTTTGCAGTAAGCTGCTTTGTGATTTCTTCTTTGATCTTCACACTTATATCAGTCTTGAATCGCAACTTTTGCTTGACAAGAGGGAATGCTGGATCAGTTGGCAATTTATGAACTACCAGATCAGTGTTCAGGCCCGGCATATCGTCATATGACCATGCAAAGACATCTTTGTACTCAAACAATGTTTTGATTATTTCCTCCTTAACTTGCGGTTCTAAATGCACACTTATCTTGGTTTCCCTAACATCATCCTGGTCCCCTAAATTGATTGCTTCAGTCTCACTTAAATTAGGCTTTGGTTTTTCTTCAAATTGTTTTATCTCTTTACTGATTTCCTCAAATGCTGCTTCTTCATCATATTATATTTCATCATCATATTCTACTTCTTGGATTGTTATTTCAGAATTAGATTGGCTTTTAAGAGTCGGCTGAAAACTCTTCATGCATGTCATGTCACTACAACCAGCATAAAAATAACAGTACAAAAGAAAAAAGAACAAAATAAAACACTAAGAATAACAGAAAACGAAAAATTGCATTTCATTGAAAATAAAAGGATAGAAGGGTTTGAATATCAAAACAAGCAAAAACTAAAAATTTGGATTACAACCCTGGAATAACCCAGATAACAGAAAGGAAAACAAAACAAACTACCAAAATTCCTTCCTGGTGGGGAGAGGAGTAGCTTCCCAATTGCTAAGCTTCACGTTTGGGCCAACGAGCTGCACATTTGCTTTTTTAGAGCCTTCACCAACTTCTACCATATTGACCGCTTTGAACAGACTTTGGAACCTCTTGATCAGGTCTTTATCAACATCGACCACAGGTTTTGGGATTGAGGAGGTTGGAGGTTTTTCGGTCCCTGGCTTGACAAAAGACTTAGAGATGTGTGGGACGGGCTTAGGGAGCGACCATACCTTCTATTTCAGATTTTTAACCATTTTCACGTCCTTCTCTGTGGGCATGAATCCCAAACCAAATGTACCAGAATTCCCACTGGGGCGCACTAGATGCACAATACCCTGCAGAGATGAGCCCAAACCCTTGCCCGGCACAAAACCATTCTTCAACATTTCATTCACAACCATGACAGACGCGGAGGATAACTTAAGACCCGGAATGCATTTTCCTTCAGGAATTTTCTTAACAGACACTGTTTCAAAAGTCTAATAGACCCAAGGTCCCTTATCATCTTCAGCTTCGATGAACGGAATAATTATATCATTACAAGCTGACAAGTCCTCGTCACCGTGCACAACTATTTCCTGCCTGTCCCATTCAAACTTCACCATTTGGTGCAGAGAGGACGGGACTGCCTTAGTAGTATGTATCCAGGGCCTGCCCAACAACAGATTGTAGGAGACAGTCACATCTAACACTTGGAATTCCATGGTAAACTCAACAGGCCCTATCGACAATTCGAGCATTATATCTCCAACAGAATCTTTACCTCTTCCATCAAATCCTCGAACACACACACACACACTGTTCAAGTGGATTCTTTCGGTGCCAATCTTCAGTTTTTGTAGAGTAGACAGGGGAAAAATATTCGCACTGGAGCCATTATCAACCAAAACCCTTGAGACAACAGAATCTTCACACTTCACCGTGAGATAGAGCGCTCAGTTGTTTTCTGTACCCTCCATAGGAAGTTCATCGTCCGAGAAAATGATCCTATTTGCTTCGAAGATCTTGCCAGCTATCTTTTCCAAGTGGTTCACTGTGATCTTATCAGGAACATGTGCCTCATTCAAAATCTTCATCAAGACCCTGCGATGTTCATCTAAATGTATCAACAAAGATAAAAGAGAAATCTGAGCTGGTGTTTTCCTTAACTGCTCCACAATGGAATAATCCTACACTTTCATCTTTTTCAGGAACTCCTCGGCCTCTTCCTCGGTGACCGATTTCTTTACTGGCATCTGGCTATCCTTGAATGGCTTGGCTTTCCTTAATTCTTCTGGGGTGAAACATCTCCCAGGACGAGTCAATCCTCCATTTTCATTAACTTTTTCCTCTATTTATTTTCCTTTTTATGTCACTATCACTTGTTTATAATTCCACAGAACAACCTTGGTTTCTACCACTGGCAGTTGGGTTACTGGTTTAATGATGATAGGGGTAATAAGAGCCCCCTTCACAACTATGACAGGCTTACTTGAAATCCTTAATACTACCACTTTTGAACTTTCCGGACTTGCCCCAACATCTTTTGACAGCCCTTTCACGACCAACATTGGTGGTTTCAGATTGAGCGAGCTCGACTTTTCTGTCGCCCCTTCAATTGTTAAGGGCTTTGTTTTGGTAGAGTCTAGAGCTTTAACCAAATTATTTTCACTGGCCCGAATCATCATGACGGACTTAGAAGACTTCTTGGGCTCCCCATCCTTGTGAACTATTTCAATCATATATGTCTCTTCATGGGCTGGCAAAGTGTTTTGGTTGATGTTTGGCGTGCCTAGGCTTTGGACTACAATTTGCTTTGTATCAATGAGCTTTGGATTGCCCTTTTCAAATGCCAGCACTTCTCTATGTCATGCCCTGGAGCATCAGAACAATAGGCGCACCTCAGGGAATAATCGAGGTTCTTTGGAGGGGGATTTGGTATCTTTGACTCAATCGGCCTCAAGACGTCCAACTGCCTTAACCTTTGAAATAGACTAGTATAGGACTCTCCAAGCGGGGCAAAAGTTTGTTTTCGCTGCTGCCTCTCTCTTCTATATTCTGGCCTTGATCAAAAATTTGAACCATTGGGGTTTCGGTAAGGTTGTGGAGGTTGATAGGCATTTTGTGGAGCTGAGTAGGTATTCTGGGGGACTGGGGCACGCCATTGTGGGTAAGGAGGAGGTGGAGCATATGTCTGTGCATGGGGAACAAGGTATTGGGATGGCCTGGCTGAGTATTGGGGGTTTTGTGAGGAAAAGTAATGTTGAGGTGGATTATATGGAGCTTGGGTGTAGGTTTGAGGTCGGGGTCGAGGATGGGTGTACTGATGAGGTGAACCCCTCTGGCCATGCCATGATTCGGAGACAACCATAGCAATCTCTTCCTTCTTCTTCTTACCTAGCAACCTTCTGGTACCACTCTGGATTGCCTAGGTGGTTGCTTTTATAGAAGAATAGCTCATGATCTTACTCGACTTGAGCCCCTCTTCCACCATTTCTCCCATCTTCACCACATCATTGAAAGACTTACTAATGGCTGAGATCAAGTGGCCATAGTAAGTGGGCTCCAGGGCTTGAAGAAAGTATTTAACCATCTCGTCCTCTTCCATCGAAGGATTGACTCGTGCAGCCTGCTCCCTCAATCGGAACCCATATTCTGTAAAGCTTTCACTGGGTTTCTTTTCCGCCTTAGTCAAAGATAGGCGGTCTGGAACAATGTCTATATTGTACTGAAAGTGCCGGAAAAAGGCCCGAGCCATATTGTCCTAGGTGTACCACCTGCTAGCATCCCGGCGGGTGTACCATTCTAAAGCTGCTCCACTTAGATTTTGGCTGAAGTATGCTATTAGTAATTCGTCTTTTCTCCCGGCGCCTCTCATTTTACTATAATAACCCCTCAGATGAGCTACATGATCCCCATGGCCGTCATACAAGTCAAACTTGGGCATCTTGAACCCGACAGATAATTGGACATCGGGGAACAAACACAAATCCTTATAGGCCACACTCACTTGGTTTCCCAACCCTTGCATATTTCTCAATGATTGCTCCAGACTCTGTACCTTCCTAAACATCTCTTCTTGGTCTGCGTTCTTGGGTGGTTTGTCAGTTTCAACATGAGGCTCAAATTGGGGAGTGTAAGAGTAAGGATCTGGGACTTTGAAGGTGGGCTCCGGTGCATAGTAGTGGGCATCTGTAGCAAGGAATGAGGGCTCACTAGAGGATCGGTGGAGGGTAGCTTATGGAGGGGATACAAAAATAGGAGCAGATGTCGGAGCAGGGTACGAGGTTGTTTTGGGCGGTGGAGCATGAAAAGTTTGGGCCGAAGTGCCGGGGTAGTTGTGGTAAGGGGTAAATCTAGGTGCGTGTTGTGGGGAAAGATCAATGGTATTGGGCATCTGGGATTGAGAGAGTGGTGGAATGGAAGCAGGGTTTTCTGTGTAGTTGGTAGGGAACGAGGGTGGAGGGTGTCCCTTAATCCAGGCCTGATACATTTCCTCTATCTGGTGCTTCAACCTCCGAACCTCCTCTTGCAATTCCGATTCTGACTCAACAATCCCCCTTGGTGGGTCTACAACTCCAGTGTTTGTTTCCTTGTTAGTCATGACTATTTGACGCTTTGATCGGGTGTTGTATAGATGACTTGCCAGGATGCCAACAAACTAACCACCTTCCTGTTATTAAATAAAGATAACAAAGGACAACAACACAAAACCACCACATTAGCGTTAGGGCATCTATCAAATAATAATATCACATTATGTGCAATGCACCTAGCAACAATTAACGGTTCTAAAATGGCTTTGAGGGTCGCAAGGTCATAGGGCATCATCCCGATTTACTCATTTTGATCCTTCCTTCTCTTTCTTTTCCAACACCTCTTATCCTTTTTTCTCTTTTATCTTTTTTTTGAAACAGAAATGATTTGATCGAACCCGCTGTAGGTTGCCTACGTATCATGTCCCTCATGAATCAGACCAAACGTAGTTCTGAAAAAGTGATGGAAAATAAACTAAAAACAAAATCTTTTTGGGCTTTTTCATTTAAAACTTTTCGATATTAAAATACAAAGGGAAATACGATAATGAAAGTCATGACAGACTCGACTACACTATAACAGACTCTGACACCACCTAAAGAACTCAGTCTCCGAGACAAGACGCGAAAGTAAAAAGACAACGTAAGATAATCTCAAAACATCTAAATAGAATGACTCCTCAAGCTACTCCTGAATGCGAAGGTCCTGGCTGGGACGGGTCCGATGAAGATCCGGATGGCCCCGTCAATCCTTTTGAATCTAAGCTCTGTATTATACCCTGCAAGGATACCGCGAAGCTAGGAATGAGAATCGTGGAATGCTGCATTTGGAAGGCTGACTCTAGGAAGGTACTCACGGTGCTGTCCCATGTTCTCTACCAACCCTGCCAACTGTGATCTTAGTGACTGAAGTGTAGCTCGAACCCCAGCCCTTTCTGCTGCACGGGCCTCCTCTTCCTAGGTAAATCGATCCATCAACTGTCTAAGCAATATCAGTGAGGTGACCTCCTCGTCAAATACTCCTCTAACATGTCGGGGCAATGGTATGCTAACCCCCCGCTGAGTAGACTGTAGCCATATGAAGTACTCATGGGTATACCCAGGTGAATTTGGGTCAGCAGCTAAAGTATCCCTACCCATCTTCATTGCATGACGCCAATAGGTCTGGATGTCGACCTCCCTATGTGGCATAGTGTCAAATTCCCTAATGAAGTCACGAGAGTCAGGAATGTAGGGGACTTCTTGCCGCCTCCCTAACTGACGCATCATTCTAGCAGGGGTATATGGTCTAGTACACCAAAGTCCAATTAGTACCAAGAAGTCTTGCACGCGAGATCCTGCTAAGATCACGTCCAAATCAATCCAAAGGTATGACCACAGAACCTTCTCTTCAGTCAAGGATCCTAAGTAATCAACCCAAGCCTGAACTCCGAGTGGTAAGGGAAACTTATCGAACGTCATTCTATGATCAATGCACTTCACTCGATCTCTCAGACAACGGTCAATCACATCTTTCTCAAACATGGTGGCTGGATGTAAGTGTTCCATCATCCACAGCTGTAGCAACAAGTTGCTTCCCTCAAAGAACCTCCCACCTTGTCGAATCCTGGTCAAAGCACGATAGATCTCTGCCAAAATTGTCGGAACCAAGGTGACCTTACTACTATGTTTATCATGGAAGAGTGCAAAGGCTATTGACCCCAGACGCGTGCTAATATGTCTACCCTCCAAAGGAAATACCAGGAGACCCAACAATGCAATATCGAAGACTATAGGGCGCCTCTTCTTCCAAGAATCATATGATATGGAAAATTCATCTACGAAGGTCTCATACCCAGTAGGACGAACAAACCTCTCGAATAAAAAGTCCAAAGGTACCCAAGATTGATCTAGACACCCCATGCGATCTTCCAAATCCATCCCTATGATCTTAAGGAACTTGGTGCTTGAATGAGCCCTTGTGTAAATCAAATCCTTGTCTAGGTATGGCAGGCGGGTTAACCCGACTATCTCAACTAAGGTGGGTGTCATCTCAAGATCCCCAAACTTGAATATCATTCCCTGCGGGTCCCAAAATGTCAACATTGCTTCTACAAGGTCGGGACGGGGAGTGATGTCTATCAAAGAAATAAGAGTCCCAATTTTCCATCAAATCATGCTGCTCAAGTAATGTGAACATGTTCCACCATTTACTAGCCTTCTAGGGACTTTGACCATCATTGATACTCTAGCATTGGTGAGTCGATCCATACCTGAATAATAAAAACATGGTTAATGACCCAAGACATTATGTGACACCACAACATTTCCTAGAGGACGGCTGGGCTATTTCTGCAAAATGGCCTGAGGGGCCAAAAGTGGCTAAAAATGCAAACTCAAGAAAGGTGACCTCAAAGATATGGGAATACCTCACTAAATCTTATATGAATTCTAACTCCTAATAATCATGGCCCAAAAATTAATTTGCAGAAATGACCCGTTTTGCAAAAACGACCGATATGGCTAGAAGTGGCTAAAGATGCAAACTTGAAAAGGACGGACCTTAAAATAATATGACACCTAGTTGTGGACTCAAGATCCTAAGACATGGGTTATTGAACCACCTTTGCGAAAATGACCCCAATTTGCAAGAATGGCCGATGTTACTAGAAATGGCTAGAAATGCAAGATATGGCTAAGACCTCGCAAAGCCAAGAACCTAAGAGACTAGAAAGACCGGACCCTATGTGGGTTGCCTACGTATCTCTTCTCGAAAGATGATAATCAGGTTCGCGTAGTTCGGGAAGATCGGACATGGAGGAAAGCTTTAAAAAAAATACAACTAATTTGGGAAAACCATTTTTTGAGAAATGATGGAAAATGAAAATCTTTTTGGATTTTATTTTTTCATTTTTGGAAAATAATGGGGAAAGTGTAAAATCTTGTTGGATTTTCTATTTTCAATTTTTCTTGTCTTTTTGGAAAATAATGGAAAAGTGTAAAATCTTTTTGGATTTTCTTTTTCATTTTTTTTGAAAATAATGGGGAAGTGTAAAATCACCTACTTCATTTTATATTTCACCCTCAAATATCTTTGGTCCGCCAAATGACCCTTTTACCCCTAAAGAGATGCAACATGTAGCACATAGGGATGACTAAATGTCTTTTTGGGCCATGAGCCCATTTTGACATAATTCGGGTAGGCCTCCTACAACGGGACACGGTGCCTGGGACCGAACCCGGCTAGGTTTGAATGATATGATGCATATAAATATGACCTAAAAGCTGACCTACGGTTGGGGTTCACTAGACAAGGCAATTCGGGGCGGCACGTGGTCGATGACGGCTGCTCTAATTGTCCGCCCACTTCACGCTCCCACGCCACCCACTAAAGACACGAGTGACTCACAAAAAGGTCGTGTACGCTCAAACGTACTCCGGAAGACTTGTTGCAGAAAGAAGACTCGGGGTTATGCAAATGATGATAGTTATAAAGTAGTAAACACATAAAGCAAAAACTGTAAACACATAAACAACTAGCAAATAATAACAAAAATATAAAAACATAATAAAAATCAAGTAAAGCTAATGGAAAAGCACAGAAACCTCAACCAAATATTCTAAAAGCCAACAAGATCATAGTACTGGCTCGAACATGCAATTCCCCAGCAGAGTCGCCAGAGATGTCACACCCCTCTTTTTTTAAACTCACTAAATCCTCTTAAAAATAAATAAAAGATTTAGTAAAGCTCGAAAAGGGTTTTAATTAAAAAGTGACAAAATTGTGTTCAAAAGGAAATAACTCAGAGTCGCCACCTGACTTTGATTTCGGTGTGCCAGGTTTCCATTTTTTTTTTAAAATAATTTTTCCTTTTAAAACATTACAGACTCTAAAACCAAGTCTACACCAGAGATTCGGGTAAGAGAGTTCATTTGATTCAGGGAGAAGGTGTTAGGCATTCTCCGAGTCCCATAACTAGTACGGTTGCGTACATGATCTAGTTGGCTTTTTCAAATATTCGAATTGAGGGTGAAACACACAAAAAGCAAAAATAAACACATAAGAGGCTCGAGGTTGTCCCCACCTAAGAAAAGAAAATAAAGAAAATAAAATAAAGATAAGAAAATTAAAATTAAAATCCTAAGCTAACCTATAGTATACTTACTCCACGGTGTAGCCTCGACCTCCGTTTACATTCACTTCAGGGCATACCCCGGATAATAATAATATATACAAAATCTACGGGGAATTCCCCTGAATATAAACTAAAGGGAACAACCTCTTACCTCGGCAAAATGAAAAGAAGCGATCTACAATTTGCCTACCCGAGTGTGGTCGGCCTAAACATGCTACTAGCGGTCCAAGCAAATAAACTATAATTAAACTTAATATTAAGCCCAATTCTATGCATAAACTTGTGACCAAAGCCTAGATTTCATTTAATTTCAACTGACGAGAGCCTCATATTTTCAAATTCTAACCCCACGACCATATTTCAACTTTGCTCAAAATCAATTCCCATGGCCCATGTTAAGTATTACTATAATCAAGGGTAATTTTCAGTCAAATATCTCCCAACTATAATTGATTTGAGTAAATCTACGAGCAATCAACTAAACGATGCAAGCACTTTGCATAAGTAACTGAAGGATCCAAAAAAAAATGTATCACTGAAACAAGCAATTAAAATTAAACAAAAACGAACGAGCAGAGAGTTGAAGAATTGAACCTCAGCAAAATGTTGTCTTCGCTATTAATAAGAACAGCCCCGATTATGCTACATCAACTTTGAAAGTATTAAAATGTGACAACGAACCCTGATTAAAATCTGACCGGGAAGCAAAAATAAGGACCGGATCTTAGACCGCGAATCGGAGCGACAACGACCTCGCCTTCGAACTCTCAGATGACCAACACTAATCAAATACAAATCTGAATACGACCTCAAAAATCCGACAGAAACTTCAACCAAACTCATGCGACGAAACTCTATTTTTATCGGAGTTTTAAGTGGTGATGAAGGTATGACAAATTGGTTGGTGATTAAGAAGAGTGAATGCCTAATCAAATATTGTGAATGTTTTTGAAGGAGAATGGTATTACGATGGTGGTGTAACGCTTGTGTGGAGCTGCTCTAGGGTGGAGTAGATGACTGGAGGCGGCTGCCGCGTTGGAAAGGAGTGAAGAAGAAGGGGCCCCTTAGGGTTCAGCTCCTCTAAATATATATGCCGATTAGTGTTTTTTTTTTTCGTGCTTGGAGAAAAAGAAAAGTATCTTCAACGTGTGGTCCCCAAAATTTCAGTGCGTGGAGTGTATCAAATTATATACGCGAGGAAGGTGAATCAAGAATAGTGTATAAGGGTCAAATGGAAATATTTGGTCGGTTCAGGAAAAAGAAAGAATTTTGAAGGTGTTATAAATATATTATATTATGGATGTTCATTTAGTACTCCGTTGTAAATAAGCTTCCTGAAGAAGCTTATCCATATGGGACTCCACCGTAAATATGTTTATCTATTTAGTACTATATTGGAAATAAGCTTCCTAAAGAAGCTTATCACTTCGGTACCCGGTTATGGATAAACATTACCTCCGGTAGAAAATTATCCATACTGGGTATAATAAGCTTATCTTTTCAGTACCCGGTTATGGATAAACATTACCTCCGGTAGAAGATTATCCGTACCGGATATAATAAGCTTATCCATTCAGTACTCCGTTATGGATAAATATTGTTCTCAGTAGAAGATTATCCATATCTGGTACAGCAGCAGCTTGTAGCAGCTTACACAGCAACTCGTAGTAGCAGCTTACACATCAGCTTATAGTAGCTTACACAGCAGCTTGTAGTAGCAGCTTACAAAGCAACTTCCTTTCTTCTATAAATAGAAGAGATTTTAGTTCATTATGTACATCAGTTTGAGTTCGAATAATATATCAGTTTCTCTCTATACTTGTCTTTACTTTACAGTCTTTGTTTTATAACACGTTATCAGCACGAAGCTCTACCATCTCGAGCAAATATTTTGAAAGTATCTGAGAATATGGATAACCCTCAAATTATGTTTGGATCAAAGACAAATCATGAAGATATGTGTGTTATTGATAGTGGAACAACTCATGCCTGTCACACCTCCTTTTTCCGCCCCCGCGAGGGGTGAAGGAATTTTTATAATTAAAGGACAATTGAAACGGGATTTGTTTGTTTATTTCAGAGTCTCCACTTGGGAGATTTAGGGTGTCCCAAGTCACCAATTTAATCCCGAATCGAGGAAAAGAATGACTCTGTATTACAGTCCGCGAACCAGAAATCCGGATAAGGAATTCTGTTAACCCGGGAGAAGGTGTTAGGCATTCCCGAGTTCCGTGGTTCTAGCACGGTCGCTCAACTGTCATATTCGGCTTGTTTATCTGATTTTATACAATTATGAGCTAATGTGCAAGTTTTAACTTTTAACCGCTTTCGTCATTATTATTATATATTTTTTCAAGAATTCCAACATCATGGAAATACATCTCCAACCA